TTTCGCGTTTCGGTGCCGCGTGCAAGCAAGAAGCTGCAAGCAAAGAGAACGGAAGGACGTCTCTTTAGGCGAGCAAGGTTTTCTGTGCATACGCGCTTCGCAAATCCAACCGAGATTCAGTTCCTTGATAAAAAGGTGCACTCGCGCGCGTACAAAAGGCCAAAAAGAACAGCGGGACAAGAAGGGCGCTCGGTCGGAGGTAACGCAAGAAGACGCAAGCTGCAAGCGTATCCACAAGGGTTTGCTCCTTCCTCCTTCCCTCCCCCACTTTGCGTTTCCCGGATGAAGGAAACTCCGTCGACTCCGTGCTTGCGGTCCGCTACTGCTAGTCCGAATTTCGCCGGTTGGCGTTCTGTATCGCATTAGGGATAGGAGCCCCGTCGGCCAGCGAGGGTTAGGGCGGGTAGAATGAGAAGCGGAACGGCAACGGGGACAGGAGGGCCGGGGGCAAAAGCTCGCGGGATGGTAGCGGCGATGGTAATGACGGCGGCGAGCGATGGCGAGAGGGTAGAACAGGAGGGGAGAGGGCGCACCGCAAGCTCGAAAGTTGGGAAAAAGCCAAGGATGGGGTTGGTGCACGGAGTAGCCAAAGGGCGCAAGCTCCGGGTCTTCCTGTGGCCCTCCCATTCGGTCGCGCGATAGGTGGAGCTTTCCTACCCGCCAATACATATCCCGGGGAACGGGGTGCGTCGTGCTCGCTCTCCCGAGGGGTGCGAGTAGTGCCGAGCAGCCGCGGCCGTTGCTGCCACTGTCAGTCCTTCTACATCCACACGAAAACGCGCGTTCCACGGTGGTGGCCTCCGTGTGGCCCCCTCGGCGCCGGCTCCGCTGCTGCTGCTGCTGCTGCTGCTGCTGCCGCTGCCGTGCGTGGCTGGTTGATAAGGTCAGGATTTTCGGGCCCCGTCGAGATATACCGCGCGTGCGATAAGGGGTTGCGGTGAATCCAAGATCGAGTGCCGAGATACCGTCGAGGTTGGGGCAAGTGAATGAAAATTAGCGCGGACTCGTTTCGTACCGATACACTATGTGCGCGGTAGGAAAGATGTCCGTGTGAACGTGAGAATAGTTTCGCTAATGTTGACCGATGTGCGCGAGAAGACCGTTTATATGGCGCCGTTTATACGAAGAGGGTGAATCCCCCCTGTTATTCGGATTTGGTAAAAACAGATTATCGAGACATCGCGCCCCTGATAAAGTTTAGCAATGATATCTTCAGAATTATTGTGTCAAAGAGTCTAATAGTCTCGATAAGATGGCTAGGAATGTAATTTTTGTGTTATATCTTCCTATTATTTCAGTATCTTGTCAAAAGGATTAATTTGATTTAAGAGAATATTTTTATTATATAAAATATATTTTGTCTTTTTAAGGAACAGAAATACTTTTATAACGATCGAAGAGAGATCTATAACAGTATTTTAAAAACACCATAAGATATTTATGGTATCAGTTTTGATTGTCACCATATTTAATAAAGTTGCGCGACTTTCGATTAATTTTGTAAAAGCCTCAAAAAATTCTATTTTAATGTCATAAATGAATGTAATTTTTGCAAATAATTATTATTTGGTAATAATTGTGATTTTGTAATTTTAGATTATTTTCTATGTATATTATAAAAGTACGATTGATTATGTTTTATATGGGACAAATCAATATTATGAAATTATTTATCAGTGCGTAAAAAAAGTAAATTTATTGGCTTATGTTTTAAGATGCGAGATAATTTATTGATTTTATGTTTTTAAGATGCAAAATATATAATTTGGTATATTTTTAATGTTTCTTATCAAAAGAAAATATTTTCAATCGATGAATTTTTAAGAATAAATTGTTCTTACATATCCTTGTATATAATAGTTTAATCATGATTATAAGTCGCGTAACTGAGTGAATTAATTAATGCGTAGTAGTTTCTCGACGCATTCGAGTAAGCTACTCGAATACGCACGGAATTCTGTAGGAATGAGGTTTCATTGATTACGATGCCAAATTTACGAATTTATCGATTACACGCTTTATCTTGATAATGAGAAATACTTGTGAAATAAAGTAGTATTTGGTGAATCGTATGAGAAATTTTATAATAACGAAAAAGATATATATCTGATTATATGTAATATAATAGAGAAATTTATTTATTTTATTATTTTTTGATGGGGAGGGAAATTTGTAGAAGGCTATCGAAATGAGATTAGTAATATAATGCAATAACAATTATTTTACAAATTTTATATACATATATATGAGTGTATTTTTATTTATATATAAATTAATTTTTGATATGATTATCTTTCTCTCTTTCTCTCTCTCATTGTGATAAACTTTTAATATAAATATAGATATATTTTATAAAGAGATAATGATGTTGATTAATATGAAATACTTAACATTAAGTTTCTAAAAGACTTTTCTGTGCAAAATTATCTCTTTCAAAGTCAAAGTAACATTACAATTTTAATAATGATTTAATTTTTATCCATAATTGTTTCGAAATAAATCTTTTTATTCATTTATCGAAATAGAAATGTGTCGCGATAGACACAAAAATTACGGCGATAAGCTCTGTCAAAATACCGGATGTCTATACCGGATGTGCTTTCGAGCGGTAGAAAGAGATTATGTTCGTAACGATACATAGTAGGAAATATATGACCTGATGCGCATTGAATCTGCACTCATTGTTTTTCCTAGATAGCGACACAAAGTTCAATGCACGTTCTGGATAAATTAAAAAGTGTAAGCAACGTCGAAAATATTTGAAATAAAAAATTCTGTTATCTAATGAGATGCTGTTATTCAATGAAATGTCAGGATAGCGTATCTTTAAAGAAAAGTTTTGAAACATTTGATATATATTTAAGACGCGATGTTATTTTGTATCTTTAATTTTTACATTAAATTTTAAAATATTATCTAAATCAAAATTTGTATTAAAAAATATGAAATTTTTTATTACTCAATATTGAACGCATATGGAATTTTTAAACTTAATTTTTTAATGAATTGCGATGAAGCAGAGTGAATAGTGCATAAATTTTGATTTGATTTTGATAGTATTTTAATTGTTGTATTGCGTTATATTTTTCTTTTCTACAATTTTAATGTACAACGTATACTATTCTAAACAGGAAATTTAGATAATGAGACTTTCTAAATATTTTAGCATGAATTCTTATCTGCTAGATGCGCTAATACATAAATTCTTGTTTACCGGAATATATAGTAGCTATAAAATATGTTATAGGTGGATAGCTTCAATGGATAAGCTTCAGAATATATGCTTTATATACGCTGACTGATTTTTCTTACATCATATATTTTAAGCAATTTTATGAATATTGTAATGATATTTCTTATATATATTTATTTTATTTTGTATTAAATATTAAATTTATATATAATGAAAATAATCTATAGATACACAATTTTTGAATTTAATAAAATATTTAAAGAGAAGCAAATGAGAATTTTAATAAACAAAATTCTTTAAACATGATTGATAACTAATTCCAAAAAGATTCTCTGTTTTTTAATTTCGAATCATTTACAGAGTTTTATTAATTCTTACATTGTTTTACATTTTGACTGTACTTTCGCTACAGGATTATTAATATATGAAAAAAATAATAACATAGTACAAAAAGCGCAAAATATGAAATCAATTAATTTAAAACTATTAATAGACTATAATTCAAGAAATAGAGAAAACTGAAAATACAATATATATTAATATATTCGAATTACCATACTATATTAAACTGAATTGAATTAACAGGACAAAAATATGCATGTATTTTCGAATTATATAATTGTCAATAATTGCTGATTCTCGAGATCAGTCATATCTAATATGTAATCTACATGATAGAATTATTACAAGACATTCTCTCGTCCGCTTTTGTGCCTCAGAAGCATGATCTTCGAGTAACGTACACACTCTGTGAGCTGTGTAATAATTTCGAGAAAGGCATGCGATCAGTGTCGAATTTTCAGTCAGTCGACTCTGAGTCAGTGAATCGTTAACATCAAGCTTGTTCGATCTCTCGTCGATCACTTCTCGTGCGTATTGAAAATTATCGTTAAAACATATTCGGCATCAAAACTTGATTAAAACTCTCCAAAACTCGAGAATTTATCATATTTTAACAGGTAATATTTTTTTAATCTATGCGTATTTCAAATAATTTTTTCATATCGTTTAATAATAGAAATACGCATATTCTTTTAAATAGATATTTTCCTCAATATTGTTATAATTCAGATCACTCGCCATTTTTCACCGCCAATCTATTTCTATAATTATTCTTTTGAGAGAATCGTGTAATTAATTTTTTCGATTTATATATCAAGGTTTTTCTCATTCGGATGTGCTTTCGAGCGGTAGAAAGAGATTATGTTCGTAACGATACATAATAGGAAATATATGACCCGATACGCGTTGAATCTGCACTCATTGTTTTTCCTAAATAGCGACACAAAGTTCAACGTTCTAGATAAATTAAAAAGTCTAAGCAGCGTCAAAAATATTTGAAATAAAAAATTCTGTTATCTAACCTGAGATGCTGTTATTCAATGAAATGTCAAGATAGCGTATCTTTAAAGAAAAGTTTTGAAACATTTGATACATATTTAAGACGCGATGTTATTTTGTATCTTTAATTTTTACATTAAATTTTAAAATATTGTCTAAATTCAATCAAAATTTGTATTAAAAAGTATGAAAATCTTTTATTACTCAATATTGAACGCATATAGAATTTTTAAACTTAATTTTTTAATGAATTGCGATAAAACAGAATAAATAGTGCATACATTTTTAAAAAATTTTTTTTATATATTGAGGTTTTTCCCATTCGGATTAAGCGATTATCGATATTAACTTGAGCCCAAATAGTATTTTACCAAACATAATAGTTAAATTAAAAGTCATCGAGGTGACTAACGGGATTTTTTGTGAGATCAGCACGAAGCTTCACAGTGTTTTTTTCGAATTGCAGATCGAATATAAGTGCGCGCGTGTGGTTCGTGTGTGTGTACATGTGCCATCATCGCCACCATCCGCAGCAGTGACCGGAAAAGAAGAGGACTCGACCCTAACAGTAGCCGGAACCACCGAAAAATGGATGCAAAGTCGCAGCGAGTTATCTCCGGTTTGCTTTTGTTCGCTCTCGCCACATTACAGCTCGGTGAGTCTTTTACAATTATTAACAGTCAGCTAAAACATAATGCGATTATCGAACATAATGTAAGAAATAGATACGCAACGTTGTGCCAGTCTGGAAAAATGATTTCAATTTAGAGGGATCGAGGGAGATAATAGCGCAGCACGTGCCCTTCTTTGCGTACTTTTCTATACAATGATTTATCAATTTTATTACAAGTAACTTTAAAAGAATCTTCTCGGTTTGAACGAATAAAATAATTCGCAAAATAATATTGTTAAAATTGCAAATGATTTTTCGCATTTTTTTAGTCTTTGATTTTCTAGCGAGGTATTATTGAAAATATAAGAATTACGATTAAGTCAAGATAACAAATTAAAATTTCATTTTTAATTCCTATTGTTAAATAGGATCCTATTGTTAAAATATATTTTTAAAATTTTACACGTAATTATTAATACATTTATAAATTCAGATACTGTTCAAAAGAAATTTATTTTATTTATTTAAATTTTTTAATTAGATTCATTTTTGTTAATTATAGTATGCCATAATATTTCGTACGGAAAACATCTATATAAATATCTATAAATAAACTCGTGATGCGTGTGTGATTACGTATTATGATTATGCGGTGAAACAAGTTTTTTCTTTTCTGCATATTATAAAGATTAATATATTATATTTATTCATAACGATATAGACAAGTGTGTATTCTGAGCTGTATTATGTGAATTTAAAATGTGTTGGAATTCTCGACGAGATTCGTGTGCGATACATCACGTTGTGCAAAAGTTACCAGCAGTTATTGTTATTATGCCGCGTATTATTTTGCGGTAATATTCATATTTCGAGTCTCATTATTACACAAAGTGATATAAATTATGCGGCCTTCCGCTTCCATAATACAGATGGATGTGAGAAAATATCTTCGCGGAATGTTTGCCAGCTTTTTGACCTCCCGAGAATAACGCAATGATTTTATACATTTCTTATGCGTTGAATTCTTACGTTAATATGTTACTTCACAGTCCCAAGTCTATTCAACTACTGAAAGAATTTGAAAATTATAACAAAATATAAAAATGGAATATAAACGCACGAAACGAAATTTAGTGTAATATATTTCTTTTATTGTTTTGGCTTTTTTTTAAAGTTGAACGATTCATAAATCAATATTATATTCGTACCTACAAAAAAACGCATGTCAAAACTCGAGATGCGATAAAATCTCGAAATATATAAATATGAAAGGGCATGATTTTCGAACTTTGTCAGCTGGAGAAAGACGAGAGAGATTCTTTCGATATATTGTTTCTTTCCCCTTCTAAAGATCGCAAAGTACGCACTTATTTCATCTTCTATAAACATTTTATCATATTTTTTACATTTGCACAACATTGTTTTCGAAATGTTACACATGAGAAAAAATTTTAAGATATTTTACGCATATTATATCTCATTGTTTTCTGTAAAAACACATTATTTTAAAAATATATTAGATTTCTGAATGCATCAAGAGATGATTGAGAGACGAAAAAACATACATCACAGAATATTGCAGCACTATTATTATTGTAATATTGCCGCAATATTGTTCTATGGGAATGTGCTTCGCCAAAAAAACATTAACGTTTTCTCGCTTCGCGGTATTCGATTCGCGACTGGGTCCTCGCTAATCGGAAAAACAATGTCGCCGCGACCGTAATTTGAAAACTTTTAAAGAGAAGGCTATTTAGAACGCAAATGGTGCAATGAGAGAAACGAGGACGCGGCCGAAGCGACAAGCGCGAGTAGATATGGCCGTGCAAATGCGTAATTGCATAATGGTGCCCATCGGTGTGTGTTCGCGCAAAGATACGAAGCCCTGGCCTGGTTTTTGCTGCTGGGGAACTTTCACTTGGTGTCTCACCATCTTTCTCTTTTTCTCCCCACCTGTCTCTTTCTATCGATACCGGGTCGCTGCTTTTCGCGTCGCGTCACCCGGCTCCTCGCTCGTTTCCTCTCGCAAACGTCAGTCTCGTCGACCGAACTCGCTTTCAAACCAGTTCGCCGTCAATCGAAGGGTTCCACCAAAATCGCTTGGATAATCCATCTCAGCGATTTCAAGGCGGACAAAAAAAAAGCATGAATAAGTCAGCGTTATCATATTGTTATTCCCCTACGGGAATTCTCTCGATTTTGTTTTGTCGGTTTCTAAAAGTTTATACTCCTTTCTCTGGAATTACTTTATATCTGTCATGTGAAAAGTATCGTTTAAGTTATCATTATTTTACATACATCTCATGTTTAATATAAAAAATTATATAGTTAATCTTTTTAGCGCAATAAGAAATCTTTGAACATAACTATAATTATAACGTGCAAAGAAGGAAGTAAAATATGAAAGACAAGTTCTTAACTCTATGATTAATTTTATATCTTATATAATTTTTTTATTAATTAAATTTGATATAATTTAAAGTTGATAACATTGAGAAATATTTATTTAAATTAATATCATCATAAAATTTATTTTAATTTATATTAAAAATTAAAGATTAAAAATTAAATAAAAAAATTATTAAATTTAATTTATATATAATATGTTGCAGAAATTCTAATTATTTTTTCACTAAATGTTTGATATTATGCGAAACAAACGATTCAATATAACGATGTAATACTTTTGTTATGGTAAATCTAAATTACATTTAAAAGACATCCTGAGAAAGTTACTTTACGGTACGATCGCTTTCTAATCAAGTTTTATGAGTCTGTCTACCTCTTCCTCTTCTCTTGCATCTCATTTTATCTTTATTCACGGAATGTGTCCATTTAATAGATGTAATTTGTTAAAATTTCTTTGCAATTACACTCAAGTTTTTTATTCTTAAATCCCTTGTTTTTGTATATCATTACTAGAAATATTTTAAGAATAACTTTTATTTTTATAAAAATAATATTACATATCTGTAATATTATTTTTATAAAAATAAAAGTTTTTTCACACCTGAAATACCTTTCCAAATTTTGTATTATTGAATCATAAGATCTAACTAATTCAATAATAAAAGTTTACAATTCTGAAGCTCAATTCGTGAGAATACTACTTCATCGTTTATAACTGTATATAAATACTATTGATTTCTATTAAATGTACGTTAATTTCTGTACAAAATACAATAAAGAATGACGATAACTAGAGAAAGAAAGAGGTAGGGTTATCCACAAAGACAATTTTTCCCGTAAAATCACCGTGTAAGAAGACAATTCTCGAATTAAGCGTAGCATGCAAGCACTTTTTCTGGGGTTAAGAATACTCTATGATAAAAATTCTCGCTGACGATTGCCAGCGTCCACTTGAGAGGAGGCACCACGACAGATTCTGAACGTCGAATCAATGTACAATGAACACATATTGGCGAAGCGGATGCCTGTAGCCTTCAATAAAGCTCAGTCGGAGCCTGTTCAATCGTTGGTACTTGACGAATCCCGAATCGGACAATAGTCTCGTGGCGCAGATACGATCCGTCCGTTCGGAATAACCCACAAGGTCTCTCGGGCACATACTATACATAAATGGACTTGCATGTTTTCGGCGGGGGAGAAAGGTAGCGGGGTTTAATACTACGAATATCCGGTTGTACATATATAATGCGAACGCGAGCGAAGAGATACACATCGCTCCCCATTCCCTATTCTATCTCTTTTTATCTTCTTTTCCGGGGATTACTTTCGGGTCAGCAAGCCGATCGCGCGTTCTTACAGATTACAGAATACTTGGTGCGCAAGGCGCATCCCGGAGCGAATCGAATCTCTGCGAGTCGGAGTTGCGAATCTGACAATATTTCATGAGAGATTAACATATGTTTCGTTTGCTTCTTGAAAATACTGCATCGCGTGTCTACTAAAAGTCAGTATTTTGAAAATAAAACTAACAGAGATTCCAAGATTTTTATTTAATCCTTAGACATATCATGTTTTGATTGCTCAAAGAACTTGCTCCAAAAAATTGCCATTCTCGGGTGATGATATTTTGATAAATATCAAAATTTTTAATTCAATAAATGCGACGTCTATAATTCAAACTCGAATAATTCAATTTTTATTGAATTCAAATTTGATTAAATATGATTAAAAACCAAGTATAACGGAACAAACATTATGAGACTGTTGTGGGAGAATTATGATACTTGGACAAAAGTTTGGATGCAATCTTTGCGAATATATGCGCTCCAAATTGCTAAAAAATCTTAAATATTCATTAGTAATAAATAATATTATTATTAGCAAATTAATTAAATGACAAATGATTGTGTCATTAAAAGTTTCTCGCATGGACAGATTCTTCGTAACATATCGTGCATTTTAAAATGATGAGCGCTATTGTATATACATATACAAGTAATCGAAGTGCATATTTGTTTTATCCGTTAGTTTTCAGTCTCGCGAGATTATCGAGCTTCAACTTACGGTCCAACAATGTTCAGTGGGAGTACTCGTTTGTAGTATACGTTCGTAGTAATGCGTGCACGTGAAGGCGAGGATTGCGCAAGCGTACGAATACCTCCATGGATATGCATACATGTGTGTATGTGTGTTAAATACCTAAAGGATTTGTACGTACGTGAAACTTGCACACATTAGCATCTGTGTTTTTTTCGCGATAAGAGCTTTACAACTGACTACGGCTAATGAGAATTGAAAGTGAGAGGGAGGAAGATCGGCAAACAATGGTATGTCATTAGGAGAAATTATTGTATAGCGATTGATTCCCAAGACACTAGTGCTTCCTGACTTTCTCCTTGTCTTTACGGCGAATAAAGCGAATTGTATGGTGACGAGAAAATTGGAGGAATATTCGCATTGATGCACACAGACAACATGCATGTATCAAACTAGAAATGTTTGCAGTGTTTATCGAATATTATTGAATATTTTTTGACATTAATACTTAACTTTTGATATATACATAAATATTGATATCACGAGAATAGTTCTAAAATCTAAAAAATATTTTTATATATTTTTATAATACGTGC